TGTGAACAAAAAAAACACTCAGTGATTTGGTTACAATTTCCAGTGGGCCACAGCTGAGCAACCCGACACAAATGCCATCAGGAAAGCAGAGGCTGAAGCAATCGTACTCTAGTAAATCTACTTAGAAGTGACAAGATTTTAAGGAGCCGCGAGGCAGGAGGGCTCTGTGGTTTGGAGGAACATTCAGAGCACACTTTGATGCTTTCCTCTTCAGCCAGGAGGGAGGCGATATTTGTTCTTAAGACTCTTAAAATACTTACAGATGTTCCCGTAATCCTTGACGCCAAACCCTGAAGCCCCTCATGCAACAGCACTATTACACACGGGGGAAAAAAATCACACGACTTCCAGTGCCATTTTGCCAGCCAGCAAGGCGTGAAGAAAGGATTTCTCAGTCTCTGTTCAGTCCTTCCAGGAAGCCAGATTTTCTCTGTGGCTCACAGAAGGGTTTCTGGAGGCCACAAAGGGAAACCAAAGTGGTGGAGAGCAAACCAGGCCACTGTCCATGGCAGGGAGGAAGAGTGGTGCATTCAGGTGGAAAAAACTGTGGAGCAGTCTCTCCTCACTTATCTGGAAGCTCATGCTTTGCCCCTTTTCCTTGTCCTGGCTGTTAACAAACTCACCCCCGGCCCCATCCCATCCGCTCTCAAAGCCTGTGCTGCTCCCTTCCCCTACCTCTCACATCCAATCCTTTCTGTGGAGCCCAGACCTTCACCCCAAGAATGAGGCAGGTTATGCACAGCTCAGCTTTATTTTCTCTTTTTAGGTTTAATGTTTTTTTCCCCTCCTTGTAAGAAATAGTTTAATGCTTTCTAGAGCTTCTGCTAATACCTCCTTCCTTCTTTGGGCCCGTTTGTGACACCTCTTTGGGGATGTTCACAGGATACAGCAAGCAGCATTGGCACCGAGAGGCGCAGAGGAGGAAGATGGGGGTGGCAGAGCACTGGAGTTGGCAAGACGAACTCAGCACGGCTATCTGCCTGCTCTGCTGGGCGGTACTGGGCTTGCCACTCCTTTGAGTGAGGGTGAAGGGCAGCTTTCTCACCTCCTCCTTGATATCTGCCCACTGCCAGGCAGAGGCAGCTCCCTCCCCAGGCAGGTGAGAGTCCCACACGGAAGTCAAGTCCCCGCTTGGTTCACGTGAGACCTCAGGCAGAGGAGCTGGAGAAGGAAACCACACTCTGCAGCGAAGGAAACCACACTCTGTGGCGAAACCCCAGGAGCCTCGCAGCTTGTCCCGCCTGCGGCCTCAGCTACACCATCAGTCCGACAGACAGCTCCTGAGAGATCTGCCCGGAGGAGCAAAAGGAGAGAGGGGGAAAGAGAAAGGCTCTCCACCATGCAGGTAGGAAACAGAAACTGCTCAGCTATTTCCAAGAGGTTGCTTTTCAGCACCTCTGAGCCACCCATAGCTTGGAAACATGGGACACTCTAAGCTCCAATCTCTACCACTCATGTGCTTTCAGCCTTTAAAGTACTCAAAATGTACTACAAAACTCCCGTTCCTCTTTCCAGCAAGCAATCTCATTCCTACCATGAACGTGCAACGGGGAAAGCGGTGTGTGCTGCTGGCTCTGCAGTTTCCTGCAGCCGGGCAGCAAGGCAGAGCTGAGCCCCATGTACCACCCCAAGGTGCTGCGGGGTCAGGCCAGCAGGGTCACGCATGGTCCCAGATGCTGGTACCAGAGTTCAGAGGTGCCGGAGCACTGATCAGAGAAGGATGGTTTGGACTGAGACCAGATCTTTTGCTTGTATAAACCCAGGCACTGCATGTAGCAGCGGAGGTGACAGCCCCAGATGTTTCAGGAGCACCTGAAATAAAGCAAGGGGAGAGGGGGAGCTGTGAAGTTTTGTTTCTCTAGCTTGAAAGAAAAGATGCGGTTTTCTTTTATTCAAAAAGCCAGGCAAACTCTCTAAGATTGGAGCAGCTAGTAAATGTACAGGTGCACCATCTGCCTGTTCAATTAAAGATTGTCACATTTCTTAGGAAACTATGAGGTAAGGTGGAAGTGCTCTAAGCGAGGCGTTTGTGAGAAACATCCCTGACATACTAGCAATTTGATCATCTCAGTGTGGGTGATGGGAACCACCCAAACCCTCAGCAATCCCCAATTAGAAAGGAAAACAAGGATGCCGGATCCTATCCAGGTCCTTTGCCCGAGTTACTCACGCAGGTGACTACACCTCCAGCCCAAGGGTGCCTGTTACCATTTCTCTGAAGGATCCAGTAACCTCGCACAGGGCAGTGGGTTACCTGGCTTGCGACAAGGGCACAAGGGCCTGCTGATACAGCTGGAGAGAAACCAGGCACACTTCAGGGCATGCAAACCCTTTTTGACATTGAAATTACTGCTTCTCATTGTGCAGATTACTTCTCCTACACCTTTGCCCAGCGCACCTCCAACCCGCCTCCAAACACGGGGCAGGAAAGAGCTAAACAGGCACCGTCCTCCTTGATAGCAGGGATTAGAGCCCAGGGTTTAAACAACCACTTCAGAGCCAGGGTGGCCTTCCCCGCACGCAGGGCCAATCTGACTGCCTTGTGCTTGCTGCCAGAGCAAAGCAGCCATAATCTGACAGTGTCGCTAGTCCCCAGGGACAAAAAAAATGGGCCACATCTGGCCCCAAAAGCAGGCTGGGCTCCGACACAATAGTCCCAGCAGCCAAGGCTTAAAGCAGCCTTTGCCTCGTGAGGATGCCAGCAGCCACCGTAATGAATTAAGCCTGCTGAAATGCTGCTCTTCCATCATCACAGGTTTGCAAATCCCCCTTTGCAGCTGAATGCAATTTTTATCTGTTACCACTCCAGAGGTGGGTACTGGGAATTGTCTGTGCTAATCTGCAAATAATTTGCAAATTCCTCCCCGTTTTTCAGTCCTACGCAGAGGCGCTCACGATGCCTGCAGAGCGGGTACCAGGCGGTAAATTACGTTGCTATGGGAACACAGAGAAAAGCCAGACCCTGCTACCACGACGTCCTTATTGCCTAGAGAGCCATACACGGGTGGTGTGAGAAGCATCCCCACCGATTCTTAGGGCTTGACTGGAAAATTAGGAATCCAAAAAGCCTGCTCCAGGGCTTTGGCAGAGCAGAGGACACCTCCACAAACCCCCCTCTGCATCTTGGCCTAAATTGGGGCACCTTTTAGCAGTGGGAAGTGCTGGTCCTCACTACAACAGCATCTCTAGGGGAGAATATCCCTCTTCTCAAGCCTTTTCACTTTGGCTTTCTGTTGGTCAGTCTCCCCATGGCCCCTTTGCGTTACGGGAAGCCAGGGCCCTAGCTCCACATGAGAGAGGATTTGGCAGAGCATTTCAGCCCTTTCCTCATCCCGGTCTCTCCTGCTTCCATGGCCTCATTCTTCAGTGAAAGCTTGGGATCCAGATCTTACATCAGGGCATGGTTTCACCACCACCGCTCTGCTCCTGAGATTACAGCTGGATGAACTTGTCTGGCTGGCTGCTGTTTCAGGTCACAACGTCTTTAGTGGCAATACTGACTGATGATATTCCCCATCCCCTGGCAGCTCCTTCCCGCTTCTGTGCTGCAATACCATGCCCTCGGGACGGGCAGCGTAACTGTTTGTGGGGCTGCACCATGAGTCACATCAGAGAACTGCAAAAAACCCAAAAAATGCTGTTTTTAAGACGGGATCCATTCCCCGCCCCTGCCACAGTATGGCCTGCAGAGCGTGTCTTTATTAAACTCATTACATTCACTGGGACCTGAAGCCCGGCGTGCTCTTGCCAATCCATTGAAAGGCTGGTTGGACTAATCCCCTCTTGCTTATGAGAGAACTATGGCTGCAAAACCAGGCTGAGATCACATCAGGGAAGCCAGGCGTAGAGGACAGGGACAAAGTGGTTTGAAGCTAATGTGCTCCAGTTCTGGGCACCCACCCAAGAGTGCTCACTGCAGCATCCTTTGGCAGAGGGGCACCCCGGGCTGGGAAATCACGCCAGGCAGAGGGCAGGGGCTGCCACAGGGCCGCCTGATTTCCTTCATGCACCCCCAGAGCCACACCGCTTGGGTGTCTGAGCATTATTAGGCTTAAATAATGAAGGTGAGCAGCTGCGTTCGCCCCTGTGCAGCCTCTCTCTTTGGAGCCAGTAGCACACGGGAGGGAACCAGGTACAAACATCAGCAGCTCACCTTCCTCGCTCTGCCCCTAGGCCGCAGACTGAGGCATCTGAGGTGTTTTCCCAAGAACTCGTTTTTCACCTGCTTTGCTGCAGTCTGCAGGGTTGTGTAAGCCTCCGATTGTCCGTGCCCCACTCTCCCTTCACTGGAATTTAAAACTACCTTCCCCACCCTCACCAAAAAGTTAACAGTGCCCTATCTGAAAGGAACAACTAAAGAGGGGAAAAGGGTGATTAAAGATTGTAAAAACCACTGTAGCATGGAAAGAGAGTTAAGTGTTGACACTCTTCCAGTACAAATGTCAGGACATGAGATGAAACAGGATGGAGCAAAGTCCAGAGCAAAGGGAGGGGTTTTTTTTTCCCCTCCCGTCTGGCTCCCTTGCAACCCAGGGTGCCATAAACGTTGGGCATTACATGAGTTCAAGAGGAGGCTGCAGACACTCACAGAGCAGCGGTCCCTCCAGGATCCCTAAACACGAAGCCATATTTGACTCAGGAAGACTCCAAACTGGAGAGCAGGAGAGTATGGGAGAAGGTTTCAGACAAGCCTGCTCATACCCTCCTCCCCGGGCATCCCCTTGTGGCTGCTGGGAGAGGAAAATTGGGCCAGGTGGATCTTGATCTTATGTTGTAACGCAATTTTATCTACATGGGTTCTGTCTTTTTTGATATACTGTGAGTACGACCAATGACACACCCTAGAGCACCTAAACGCCAAGCGGGCTTTGCTGACAGGCAGGTTTCTGTGTACCACAAGCAGAGCACTGCTCACCTGCACTCACCACCCGGAGCGGGGCAGCTTGATCCCGATGCCCCCAGGCATCTGGGGATCTCCTGCTCTGATCCAGGGCATCGCGATGCCGTCAAAACATTTGCAGGGAGAGGTTTGCTCCATGCCCAGACACGGGATCTCCCAGGGAGCCTGCTGAAGCCTTCCCTGGTTTTCTCTTCCACAGGATGAAATTCTGTTGACTCCCTGGAGGGATTTTCCTGTCGAAGACACAGACCCATTTGCCCCCCCGGTAAGCTTTGCTCCCTCTGCACTCACAGCGAGTTCAGCACAGCTCAAAGAGGGGAGCAGGGCAATGTCAAGGCAGCAGCTGTCTCAGTTTCCCCATCCCCATTCTCCTGCTCACTCCCAGTTCCCAGGGGCCCTCTACACAGTCATGTTGAAGGTCCAAACCTCTGAGAGGCTGGAGCCGAGAGGGAGAGCTCTCGGCTTGCCACCTCGATAAATTCCCTGGTGTTTTCTGTGGGCAGGATGAAGAGAAGTGGGATTTCGTCCTGGTAAGCGACATCCACGAAGTGGGCAGCGAGAAGGAGATCAAGAGGAAGAAGTTCCTGGACGAGCTGAGCAAGAAGGGGTTCACCATCAAGGTGAGGGGCTGTAGGAAGAAAAGGCAGCAGATACTTGGCTATCTTGTGGTACCCAGGATCCAAGCCCAGTTCGGGCTCCTGCATCCCAGGAGATGGGAGTGACCTGAACCATTGAGCTGATCACCATATCAGTGCTGGAAAATAAACCACTTGCTCAACCAGGGGAGAGCCCAGCCCCAGGACTCACGTGGCCCCTGGCCCTTGCAGCTCTGCCCCTTTCCCTGCCCCTCTGGCTCTGCCAGCATCATTCTAACAGCCCTTCTCTTCCACCCACTAGAAAATTGAGGATAAGAAACTATTTTATGGAGTCCGTGCCCCAAAACAGATCTTCCAGAAATACCAGGGGCTCCTGAGGAAACCCAACAACAGGCTGCAAAACCCCAACGTCCATCAAGACGTACCAGTGACCACCAGGTGGGTGCTGAGCCGGGCTACTGACTTCCAGCATCTTGCACTCCCCTTTCTCTGCACCAGCATCCAGTTTCCAGCTCAGCTCACAGTTGCGCCAGGCTTTTCATTTTCCACAGAAGGCCACCTCCACCTACCATGTGCAAACTTGCCGGCTTCTCATTGTCCACAGCCAGCTCCCCATTTCTTCCCCCCTTCCTTCCCCGGATTTTGGTGCACGCCTTCTCCCTTCCCTCCCCTGTTTTCCAGGGCCACACAACACAAGTCTATATCCCCAGAGCAGCCTTTAACCACAGTTTCTCCTTGCTCAGGATACAGATTGTGAACTTCATCCTGCAGAATACGACGACGCCCGACCTCGGTAAGGGAACAGGGCCAGCAGGGGTGATGCTCAGCCTGGATCTGCAGGAAGGCTCCTGCCCCGTGGTGGGCACGGGCATTCCCAGCTGCCTCACCACCCACGGGGAGGATGCAGAAGTGGGGAGAAAGCCAGGGTGCAGCTCAGACAAGTAAATTTGCTGCTGCATCCAGAGGCTGGGAGATTTGGACTGCAGGAACCAGCAACAGCCCTCTACTCCCTCTCCCCAAACCCCTGACCTCAGCTGCCAACCACTGCTCTCCCGTGTCCCCAGAAGAGCTCATCCCTCTCTGACACTCCAGGACGAGCAGGGCAGCACAGGGTGCTGGCTTTCTAGCTGTCTCTAAGGACCTGCCTACCTGGCTTGCTCCCAGAGCCAGCCACAACACAGCCTGCGGCAGCCCAGCAGAGTAGCACAACCACAAGGATTAGTGCTGATCCCTTTTGAATAGCTCAGCCTCTCCCAGGTGGTGGTTTTTTTTTTTTGCCCCCCTCAAAGGCTCCAGAAAAGGTTTGGGGTGATTCTGCCTGGCAGGGAGTGCATGGGGTGAGAGCAAAGCTTCACTAATCCTCTCCGTTCTGCTCTGCTACCAGAGAAGCTGCATGACCTGATGAAGAAGAAGGTCTTTGAGGCGACGTTTCCCCTGCACGAGGTGAGGCTGAGCACATGGGTGACTGGGAGGAAAAGCCACGAGAGGTGAAGGAGCAAGACCGGGTGGGGGAGACCTTTGGGTAACTGGGGCTGCATCAAGACCTCCCTGGATGAAGGGCACAACAAAGCTCCTGACAGTAGCCTGGGAGCTGGCCTGGGGATTAAAGTTGCCCTAATAATCCTGTATCCAACCAACTTCTCTGCTCTCCAGAAAGAAGAGGTAAGGGAATTCCTAAAGGAGAAATGGGCTCGCTGGAGAGGTATATTTTGCCAACAGCCGATTGAGAAGATCAGGTAACACAGGCAGAAGAGGCACGGCAGATCTTTCTAACCAAGAGTTCCCACCTAAAACCCAGAGAGCTTTATGCCCTTTGCCAGGCTCCCGTGTTTTCTTTTAAATCATTAGTTTGAACCTGGCTCTTCTCACACATACTGGGCTTCTTCTGAAGCCTGCAAAGTTCTTACCCTAAGGGGTATCCCTGTGGCACCGAGCTCCATCTGCTAATTTTGCAGTATGAAACAATCCCCACATCTGCATGGTTTTTAATTAGCCCATTTCATTTTCAACTACGCGCTCCCACGTTCAAAGGAAGGCGAAGTGGGAACAGAGCATCAGTGCAGCACATCCAGCCTGAGGCTGAACTTGGGGCATTAAAGGCAACAAGGGGCTCCTATAACCACATTAAAACTCAAGGAAGAGCACAGCTCTTATTTTAAAAGGGGGAGAAAACTAACGCTCCATAGCCAGGGGAAGAAGGGCAAAAAGAACATGCTACTTCATAAAGTTGTCAGTAGGCTCTGTTAGGGAAGTGAAATGTTAAAATGGAGATGTGCTCTACCTCCTTAAATGTTTATTACAGTTTACAAGTCTAGCAGAGGCACTAGGGACTCTTGACACCTCCATGGTGCACAAGGTCAGACAACTCATCATTTCTAAGGTCAATGCATCATGACTTCTTGTTATCACAGAAGGATTAAGGGACTGAGTATGAAATTGGGCTGGGGGGGGGGGGGGGGAGGGGGGGGGGGGGGGCTGGGGTGGGGGGGGAGCGTTGGGGTTGTAGAGAGGGGGGGGGCGAGGGGAGCGTTGGGGTTTTTGGTTTGTTTTAAACAAAGGCCAGGGAGCACATCACCACCTTTGACTACTGGTAGAAAGTTAATTCCTCTGGAATACAGGAGGGGAGGCAGGTCCATCAGTCAATAGTTACCATCATTTCTTACCCATGCCTCCAACCCTCTTCCCCACACCAGAAAAAAATGAGATACTGCCACCATAAGAATGAGATGTGAAAGCACTGCAGGGAGATAGCTGAGCCCAGAAGGAAAAATTGCTCTGGTTTGAGAAACACCGCACCCCGCAGCTCATCTTCTTCAAGCCTGGCACGTCTAAAATTGTTCTGTAGACACTGATTGCAACTTGGTCTCTCAACTGTTCCCACTCCTCTTACCTGGCATACGGTCAACCTGACCACATGCAGGCATCTCCCCTTGAGTTAGACCCTCTGGGCTCCCTTCACGGAAAGGCAGAAGCAGTGCCTGTGGGACCATGCCCACTTCATACGGAAGCGGGCATCAGCAAGAGTGGCTCTCCCTGTGGCATATTAACCAAGGGGGGAAAGGGAAAAAAAAAAAAGAAGAAAAAAAAGAAATGAAATCTCACTCCTTAGTTTGCATCAGTCACCAGGTTGACTTAAGAACAGGAGAAGCCTTCTCACAGGCTTCTCTAAACCCCTAAAAAAAGAATGAAATCTCACTCCTTAGTTTGCATCAGTCACCAGGTTGACTTAAGAACAGGAGAAGCCTTCTCACAGGCTTCTCTAAACCCCTGCAGGACAGCATGCCCTACACCACGCGGTGTAGACCAAGCCAGCCCCCACAATGGCCTTGCGTTGCTCTCCATCCTGAGTTCACCTCTCAGCCAGAGCTGTGCCCTCAGCACATCTTTGCCGTGCAGCCCCACAGTGATGTCCACAATGCACTTCACTGCCTTCCCATGCAGTCAGAGCACAAGGAGAGCCAGCTCGCTCTCCTTGCACATGCCGCCGCTGAAATCCCCTGGGAAATGCTGCACGCGGTTCCTCCAGCTCCTCTACTCAGTTGGGCTGACTCTCCCAATCCCAACAAAATCCCCAGACATGCAGACAGCACTGCCCCTCCTAGACCCGATATCCCTTTGGGGGTGGAAGAGCATTTTCTAGTGACCCCGAGCAATATGGTCTCCTCCGCTGGCCCCAAAGCACATCTCATCTTTCCTTCCAGGTGCTATTTTGGTGAGAAGGTGGCCCTGTACTTTGCCTGGCTGGGCTGGTACACCTACTTGCTGGGAATCGCGGCAGTGGCTGGAACGGTGGTCTTCGTGGCTGGGATTACTGTTTTCAGTTCCAGCCAGGTGAGGTAAGGCAGTTGGGAATGCTGAACGTGCATTCCATTCATGAACCTTTTCTATGCACGTGGCTTTGAGACACTGTTATTCCCCTTTGCTTCCCTCTACGCCTTTCTAGCAAGGAGATCTGTGAAGCCAGTAACACCATCATGTGCCCACTCTGCGACCAGAAGTGCTCATTCTGGCTGCTCTCCGACACCTGCACCTACGCCAAGGTAGGTAGCCCCCTTCCCAAGACAGGCTCAAGGCAAAGGATGGGGAAACACTCCCAGCTTGTGCTGTTCCCACACCACTAGAAGGAAAAGCCACCCCGGCAAACTGGCTAGAACACGCAGGAAACCTCCACTAACCTCAGTAATAAGGAGGAATTATAGCCAGATCATGGTCTCCATCACCACCAAGGAAGACTTTACCACTAGCAAGTCCCAGTGTCCCTCCCGTTCCTGCACTTTGCCCTCCTGCAGCATCTTTACCTGTCTCGGGGGGGGGGGGGGGGGCGGTCCCCCCCC